GAAAAGAAAAGAAAAAAAAATGGTTGGAGTAGAAGGGGGGTCTGAGTGTTTTGACAGAGCCCGGTTCCCTGCGTTTTGCAGGGTCTAGGCTGCAGCGTCTAGTACCTGCCAATTACGCTGACGGGGTATATCAGGCTCTGGAGGAGCCGCTGTTGCCCAACCCGCGCAGGCTAAGCAACGCAGCAACACAGGGCAGAGCCGGCCTGGCATCGCTCCGCAACCGCACAGTGCTGGGGGTATTCTTTGGTGAGTGCAAACAACAACAAAAACCCGCTGGGGTTAACCAGGAGCTCTGCCTGGGGAGAAGGTCGGAAGGAGACCCGAGATTCCTACTTTGTCTCCCACCTTACCCTACCCGCAACATTTGAGTCTGCCTTCATCTTGGAAGTATTTGGGGTGACGATGCAGGGATACTTGTTTCCCTGATCCTTCTTTTAATCCTACCCTAAACACATTAGCACCATTGGACCCCATTATAGCTCTAAGAACTACCGCTTTCCTCCCCAGGTGATGATAACTACTTTGCCACTAGAGGGTGGGGACTGACTTGGGAAATTACTTATATTAATCATTTCATTTGGTTCACGCAAAAACATTGGGAAAGGATACTATATTTTCATTGACATATTAGAAAATTGAGGCTTCCTAGGGCTAAGCCTCAAAACTGACGGCAGAGCTTGCTTTCCGACTTGTGACTTAATTCTTTTAGCTCCTGAGAACCCTTGGAGGACTCCCTGGTCGTAGGTAGGGCGGGAGAGTACAGTTTAACTCACTTGTTTGGCCCCACGCTCCCAGGTTACCACGTGCTGTCAGACCTGGTGAGTGTGGAAATGCCCGGCTGTCCCGCTGAATTCCTCAATATCCACATCCCGCCCGGAGACCCCGTGTTCGATCCAGACCAGCGGGGGAACGTGGTGCTACCCTTCCAGAGGAGCCGCTGGGACCCGGAGACCGGGCGTAGCCCCAGCAATCCCCGGGACCTGGTGAGGCCAGCCAGGCTGCCAGCTGAAGGGCTGGATCTAGGGCAGGGGAAGCCTCCCATTCCGTCACCCTCAGGTCTTTCCTTGCTCATCTCTACTCCCTGATTCTTGCTCGTCCACCCTGTCCCCCGTAGACCAACCAGGTGACCGGCTGGCTGGACGGCAGCGCCATCTATGGCTCCTCTCATTCCTGGAGCGATGCTCTGAGGAGCTTCTCTGGAGGACAGCTGGCGTCAGGGCCCGACCCCGCCTTCCCCCGGGACTCGCAGGACCCGCTGCTCATGTGGACGGCGCCCGACCCCGCTACCGGGCAGCGCGGATCCCAGGGATTGTACGGTGAGGTTGCGGGGGCCGCGCAAGGGTGCTAGGTGGAGCTGTCAGGGCGCCCGCGGTTGGTGGGAGCCAGGGCGGGCCGGGGTTTGTGAGTTTCGGCTCCCTGAGGTTACTTAGCGCCTTGTCTCCTGGTGTGCACCCCCCATGTCTGTGCAGCCTTCGGAGCCCAGCGAGGAAACCGGGAGCCCTTCCTGCAGGCTCTGGGCCTGCTCTGGTTCCGCTACCACAATTTGTGCGCGCAGAGGCTGGCCCAGGAGCACCCGCACTGGGGAGACGAGGAGCTGTTCCAGCACGCACGCAAGAAGGTCATCGCCACCTACCAGGTCAGCAGAACCTCTCATTCGGCTGCCCACCCACGTGAAAGTCCACTGGAGATTCTGCTTCCCGGCACAGTTTTTCACCCTGCGACCACCCTCACCCAGAAATGCTGCTTTCCTGGAGGCTCCTCTTCTTTGGGAGCTAATGTCTAGTAAAAGCCCCTATCAATGATAAGGAGGCCCAGTGCTACTTACAGGAGAGATTTTGCTTGTGATTATTTTTACCGACTCTCCCACCCCCATTTCTCGTTCCTTGTGGGGCACAGGCCAGGTACTTCTCCTGCTTGCGTTGCCTCTCCAGGGACTGCCCCTGCTGAGTCTTCAGCTCTGCACCTGTTTTCCTTGGGCTCAGCTCTCTGGTGGCCCCACCAGATCCAAAATGCACCTCTCCTCTCTCCTCTCTCAGAATATCGCTCTGTATGAGTGGCTGCCCAGTTTCCTGCAGCAAACGCCCCCGGAGTATGCAGGTGAAGGAATTGGGGAATACCTGGGCTGAAGAATTGTGGGGAAAAGAAAATAGGTACAGGCATGTGGTTGGAGGATGAGGGGGTAAGGATCCTATCTCCTTTGTGACCGGTTTCCTTCAGGATACCGTCCTTTCACGGACCCCAGCATCTCCCCTGAGTTCGTTGTGGCCTCTGAGCAGTTCTTCTCCACCATGGTGCCCCCTGGTGTCTACATGAGGTGAGGGAGCATTGGCATTGGGAGCAGCACAGTTCCCTGGCAAGAGGTGCTAAATGAGCAGTCTTCTGGGCCTGGGACCTTTCACACACCTCCACTTTTCACTGAGGAAGAGAAGCAGAATTTGGGAGCCTGACACAGGACCCTGTGGTGGGAGGTTTGGTCTTAGGGAAATCTCCCCAGCTTTCCTAATGACAGAATTTCGGCTGCTGAGTGTAGGATTTGTCCAGCAGTTGGGTCACCCTCCTTCCTCCCAGCCCTGGGCAGACAGAGCTCATTCTGTCTTCAGTAAAGATATATTGCCAAATCCTTGCTATGCTCAATGAAGTTAATGGGACATCCTTCCATACTGGCCAACCCCCACTGAGTCCACTCACCTGATTCAACCCCATCTTAGCTTCTGACCTGAATTTCCTTAACTTGCTCTTGATTCCCCATTTCAGAAATTCCAGTTGTCATTTTCGGAAGGTCGTGAACAATGGTTTTGGCAGTTCTCCAGCTCTCAGGGTCTGCAACAGCTATTGGACTCGTGAGGTCAGCTTGGGGTTAAGGAGAGTATGGTGGGTGGAAGACAATCTTCATCCATTTAGAAAAAAAAAACAATTTCAGTTTTCGGGTGTTGCTGCTTCAGTTTGGTGGAAGGTGAAGGGCAGAGAAAAATTATTTTGGGATAATTGCTCAAGAGAATCTGGGAGTACTGAGCACAGTGGCATATACCTGTAATCCCAGCTACTTGGAGGCTGAGGCAGGAGGATCACCTTGAGTCCAGGAGTTCAAGGCCATCCTGGGCAACATATTAAGACCCTATCTCAGAGAAGGAGGGAGGGAGAGAGGGGGAGAGAGAGACAGACAGACAGACAGAGACTCTGACTGCAACTGACCAAGGGCCTTTAGAGTGCTGCAGTGGTCCAGGGTGAAGACTTTTGGGAAGGGGCTCTGTAGTCTATTTTGAGTGTATTATTTACTTCCAGAACCCCAATCTGAACAGCGTCCAGGAGGTGAATCAGCTGCTGCTGGGAATGGCGTCCCAGATTTCAGAACTGGAGGACAGGATAGTAATTGAAGACCTGAGGGGTAAGCTCAGATCCAGAAGGGATAGGGGCTAGAGGCCAGGGAGACTAGGGATCAACAGGTAGACCTACAGTAGCCATAGGGCAGAAACATAGATACACATGCAGACTTCAAATAGTCATTAGAAGAAAACAAACATTGAGCATTTTTCTTAGTTTTGGGTTGCTTTTATTTTAAATTAATTATATCTGAGTATGGGGACAGGGATGGTACCACAATCTTTTGGTGTTTAGTTAGGTCTCTAACGGTTTTAATCCAGCCCTGTCTTGAAGTTAGGGAGGAATAGGGCAGGGAATTTTCCATTTCGTGTCTAGAAACATCTTGAGTCTTAGAGGAAGGCTTTTATCAGAAAAACTGCCTTGATCACACATGGTGACATTGGCCCCACATCAAGTCAAGATTAGTATGAACACAGACTTCATATAGGAGACTGCTGGAGCCTGGGGTTGGGGAGAGGGTTCAACAGCCAGATGTAGGCTGCAGGGAAAAGAAGGACTGGGAGAACTGAGTGTGTGGTCTTGTCTCTCCTCAGATTATTGGCCTGGCCCTGGCAAATTCTCCCGCACGGATTATGTGGCCAGCAGCATCCAACGTGGCCGAGACATGGGGCTACCCAGCTATACTCAGGCCCTGTTAGCCTTGGGATTGGAGGCCCCAAAGAATTGGAGTGGCCTCAATCCCAATGTGGACCCTAAGGTCAGGAGTAGTAATAATAATAATAGCAGCTAAAGCTTTCCTGTGGCAATACTGTTCCAAATTCTTTATATAAGCTATTCATTTAATCCACATAAGAATATTTTAATGTCTATACTATCAATGTTCCCATTATAATGGTGAGTTCTAGAGGCATGATTTAAATTCAGCCATTTGACTCCAGAATATGGTCCTTGCTACTACCCTGTACCACTGGGGAAGAATGGCCCCTCCGTGGGGTACTATAGTCCTTTTCCTTCAGGGTCCTACCTCATTAGGTTGGTGGCCATGAAACTGCTAATTATAGTGGCCAGGCAGTCTGAGTAGTAATGGTATGGCCCTCAAGTTCCTGACAAGGGTCTTACCATGGCTAGGGACACATTGGTCCTCCCACCAGACTGTGACCACCTGATGGGGGCTGCCTAGGAACAGGAACCTCTTTCCAGGCCTGAGTAGCAGGCAGCTTCTGGGGTTCTGTGTCTGAGGGATGGGGCAAGAGTGGTTACCCTTTCCAATATAGCACACACACACATACATACACACACGTTATTTCCAGGTGTTGCAGGCCACAGCTGCCCTATACAACCAGGACCTGTCTCGGCTAGAGCTACTCCTGGGTGGGCTCCTAGAGAGTTATGGGGACCCTGGACCTCTGTTCAGTAACATCGTTCTCAGCCAGTTCGTGCGGCTACGGGATGGCGACCGTTATTGGTTTGAGAACACTAGGAATGGGTAAGGCCTGCCCGGGGCCCACCTCATACTCCATGTTGGCCTGGCCTTAGAATGCTCCCATAGGCCCTTGATTCCCAGTTGGCCTACCACATCATTTCCATTCCCTTCGGGTTTATTTTCTTTTCTGGGTCCTTGAGCCTGGGTTGCTGGAGGCCTGCATTCCCTTCCCACCCAACTCCATCTTTCCCCAACTCAGGTTGTTCACCAAGGAAGAGATTGCAGGCATCAGAAACACCACCCTGAGGGATGTGCTGGTAGCCGTCACCAACGTGGACCCCAGTGTCCTACAGCCCAATGTCTTTGTCTGGCATAATGGTCAGTGGCCCTGGAGAACACAAGTGAAAGTAGCCAGAGAAGGATCCAGATTGTGGGGGAGAATCACTCGGTGCAGTCCAGGGTTGGACTGAGAGGTCTATATTAGGCTGGTCCCCATAGAGTAGACAGGACTGCTAGGAGGACTGCACCCTGCAGTCAAGCTATTTGGATGCAGAGAAATGGGATGTGGAAGGGATCTTTCAGAGGAAACAAGTTTTAAAGAAGTGGGCCTGGGGAGGGTGGAGGACACCTGGGTCCTTTCCAAGAGGAGAAGGAGACCTGCCCAAGGAGTATGACCCTTGGACTTTGAGGTCTTCATGCCCTCTTCCCCAGGCTCACCTTGCCCGCAGCCCCAGCAGCTCACAACCAAGGGCCTGCCCCGCTGTGCACCCCTTACCGTGCTTGACTACTTCAAGGGCAGTGGTCCTGGTTATGGCCTCATCATTGTGGCTCTCTGCTGCTTTCCATTAGGTGAGCTTTTTGGCCCCTCCCTATTTCTCTTCGTCTGGCCCCCTCTTCCCCACAAACTGGCCCATCCCCTCATTACCTGTTGACCTACAGGGCTAGCTCCTGGGCAGTTTGAGGCCACGCTCAAAGGCTCTTAGGAAAGTAGGGGCAGCACCCTCTTTACCCACTGAAGCTGTGGTTGAAGGGTTCTCCTCCCCACTGACCTCTTCTGATTCCTGTCAGTGAGTTTGGTTATCTCTGGGATGGTGGCTCATTTGCGGAACCAAGAGCGCAAGAAACTACAAAAGAAAGGCAAAGAGAGTGTGGAGATAGAAGCAGTCAAAGATGGAGTGACAGGTGAGATGAGGCTGAAGGAAATAAAGGAAGATGGGAGGATGGGAGGCCTGAGACAAAGAACCAAGTTACAAAGTGGGGCAAAAAACAGGCTTTAGGGTATCTTCTCAGATTTGTAGAGCAGTATAGGCCTAAGGATGTCTGCTTAATTACTGCCAAATCATCCCTTCCCTAGCAATGGAGTGGCCAGGCCCCAAGGAGAAGAGCTGTCCCATCACCATCCAGCTGCTTCCAGACAGGTGCCTACAGGTCCTTGACAGACGTCTCACTGTGCTCCGCACCATCCAGCTGCAGCCCTTGCAGCAAGTCAACCTCATCCTGTCCAGCAACCGTGGGTGCCGCACTCTGCTGCTCAAGATCCCCAAGGAGTATGACCTGGTACAGCTTGTCCTGCCTCCCTGACCTGGGCTGCTTTTGCACATCTCTCCTCTCATAAGCAAGTCCTCTCAGGCCACCTCATCCTCAACTACAGAGATCACCTGTAAAGGGCTATGCTGGGAACAGGGACTCCTTTCAGAGGCCCCAGACTCAACTTTACCCCTTAGGCCATTCACTTGGTTCAGCCCAGATAGACAGGGAAGAGCTTTTCTCTCCTTCCTTCAACCCAGTGTCCTTCAAGGAGAGGCTGGACAGGAAACTTGAACTCCCAAGTGTGGCAGGGTATTTCTTTCACCCAGGTGCTGCTATTTACCAGTGAAGAGGAGCGGGGTGTCTTTGTGCAGCAACTGCAAGGCCTCTGTATGTTCTGGGCTCTGGACCTCCACGTGGCTGAGATGGGAGAGAGTGAGCTGTTCAGGAAGGCTGTGACCAAGCAGCAGCGTGGGCGTATCCTGGAGATCTTCTTCAGACACCTTTTTGCTCAGGTGCCATGCCTTGTGCCTTTGGAGATGGGCCCAGACCAGGGGATGGGGCCAACCTAGGCTGGATAGGACCCCACTTGAGTGGACTAGCTTCCACTCTTTGGGCTGGAGACAGACATCCTTGTTTGGATCTCAGCTGAGCTGCTTACATGCTACATGATCATAGACAAGTTACATTATTTTAGATCTGTATCTCTACTTCTTCACCTCTGAAAGAGTGATTAAAATTGTATCCATCCCACTCTGGTGGTGTTGTGAGGATCCAGTGAAATAGTTTACATGGCATGCTCTCAGAGGTTGGCCCCTGGACTGGCAGCATCAACCTCACCTGGGAACTTGTTAGAAATGAAAATTCTCAGGCCCCTCTCCAAAGAAACTGAAGGAAGCACTCTGGGGGTGGGACCCAGCAGTCTGTGTTTTAATAAGCTCTCCTGATCCTTGGGCTAGCTCAATTTTGGAAAACACTGTTCTATATGTAGTGCTTAGCTGATGTGCTTGGTAAGTCATAGGTGTTTAAAAAAATGGAAGTTACATGTAACTTTTAAACTCTTTGCACATGGGCAGAGACAAAATCATAGGTACATGGCAGCCCTATCTGAACTGGCATGAAAGCATAGCCCGAGTCTCTTCCTGCCTGTTCACCCTGTCTGTGATTAACATCTGTCCCCAGCATAAGCTCTTTCAGTTTCCATTTCCCAACTTTACCACTCACCCCTGCTCTCCACTTTCCTTCTGTCATCACCACCCCCATCATATGGTGCTTGATTCCAGGGAGAAGTGGGCAGGATGCTAGAGATTCAGTCCTCACCCCCACCATAGGAAAGCAGAGGCTCAAGTCAATATATCTAAGCATCTAGGCTCAGCCTTTCTGAAATGTACCCTGGGGAAATGTGAACAGTCACTGAACTGCTTCCAGTCCAGGCCTTATGCCCTTCTCTCCCTTCCTCTGCTGTTGCCCAAGTACAGGTGCTGGACATCAACCAGGCAGATGCAGGGACCCTGCCCCTGGACTCATCCCAGAAGGTGCGGCAGGCCCTGACCTGTGAGCTGAGCAGGGCTGAGTTTGCCGAGTCCCTGGGCCTCAAGCCCCAGGACATGTTTGTGGAGTCCATGTTCTCTCTGGCTGACAAGGATGGTAATGGCTACCTGTCCTTCCGGGAGTTCCTGGACATCCTGGTGGTCTTCATGAAAGGTAGGAGGCCAGGGACAGCAGGCCATCTGAGTTATCGAAGGTCTCCACATGGGGAGGTGGTTTGCATCTCCCTGTCTCCCCCAGGCTCCCCGGAAGATAAATCCCGCCTGATGTTCACCATGTATGATCTGGATGGGAATGGCTTCCTCTCCAAGGATGAATTCTTCACCATGATGCGGTACGAGGTGGGCCCTTCCAATCCTGAGACGTCCTGGACATTTTAAACAGAAAAACAGGTCAGGTCAGAGGAGGGCAGGAGAGGCAGCTAGTTGGCCATCTATGTTGAAAGGTGACCTGGACACTGCATGCTAGATTCTTAGAACACCGGGCTTCAAAGGTTTACCTGCCTCAAGCAGGGTCTATACCTGCACTGTCAACAGCAGCCAGGAAAGTCTCCCTACTTTTAAACGACATGCAAATAAACAAGCCAAAAAAACAAAAACAAAACAACTAATACCAATATGAACAACAACAGAAGACTATTTAATCCCTTTAGATGCCTTTGGGTCTCTGTAAACTCTTTTACCACATAACCAAAACTGCTTTACACAACGAAATAATGCAAGGATGACCTTGGTCACTCTCTAATATCAATCACCACAATAGGAGAAGAAACAATAGGAAAGTTCCTCTATATTCGAACCCTTCTTTCTTCCTGTTTCTTAAGCCATTTTTGGTTTTGGTGTGTTGATAAAGACCAGCTTTGAGTATCATCGATTTCTCATTTCTGAAGATAATACCTTGCCATAGGGTGAGACTCATCTCTCTGTGTTCCTTGTTGAATAGGCTTCCTCCACACAGAGATTGACACATAGCAAACATTCCACACATGGTTAACTAAATAAGACAAAGTGAAATGAGTAAATGAATAAATAGCATAAATACAGCAGCCTAGATTCTTGTAATAATTCTTTTGTTTTGTTTTGTTTTTGCAGGGGGGCTGGTTTCTGGGGATTGAACACAGGGCACTCAACCACTAAGCCACATTGTCAGCCCTAGTTTGTATTTTATTTTCTTTAGAGACAGGGTCTCACTGAGTTGTTAGTGCCTCGCCATTACTGAGGCTGGCTTTGAACTCACAATCCTCCTGCCTCAGCTTCTCGAGCCGCTGGGATTACAGGCATGTGCCACTGTGCCTGGCAGATCTTGTAACAATTCTATTCTCTTTCACTCTTTTCTTTCTTTAAGCATGCCCCTTACCTGCCAAATTCCAGATACCCCAACTAGATGTAGGCTTCTCAAAGCTAATTTCAGTCTGTACCTCCCTTGTGTGTCATTGCCAGCCCAGCCCTTGGTGCTTCACACAGCTCCTAGGAATGCAGGAGAAGGCCCTGATCACCGAGGGCTGAGTTCCCACTTTCTTGCCCTGTAACTCAGTATGGTTCTTGCTGAGCCTCAGTGAGATGATGCTTTTTAATGTGATGGCAGTTCTTGCCATGTAGCCCAGGTCTTTTTCTGGTGGATTTGCACATTCTCGCCTGGTTGGTTTTTGTCCCAAAGCACAACCTAAGGAAAGAGTTTGGCCACTGTAGCTACCACTTGGGTGCTGTCAGATTAGGTGTGGAGACACACCTGCCTGTGCCCTAGAGTGTTGCCCTAGGAAACAGTAGCCATCACAGCTATATCTCCCCACCCTACTGTCTGGTGCCTTCACTGGAATGTCAAAGTGGGAGCCCAGGGGTAGCTATGGGAAGTGGCAGAAAGCCCATCATGAGACAGGGCTGTGGCACACAATGGATATGTCCACGCACTAAGTGGATATTTATTCCCAGTGGTAGATGCCCTCTGGTTCAAAGGCTGCTTTTTCTTACTAGTCAAGGTCACTTTCAATTCTGTTCTATATTTTGAACACTCTAACCACATTAGTGTCAACTTCAGGCCAGATGAGCATCTTCTCAGGGCCATTTCCCAGGTCACTTGTAGTACACCTTAGGTAATCTTGAGCTGCCTCACCCTGCACCTGTCCAAGTCTGACCTCATTGGACTGACCTCTGTCTCTGGTCCTCCACAGGTCCTTCATTGAGATCTCCAACAACTGCCTGTCCAAGGCACAGCTGGCTGAGGTGGTGGAGTCCATGTTTCGAGAGTCTGGCTTCCAGGACAAGGAGGAGCTAACATGGGAAGACTTTCACTTCATGCTTCGGGACCATGACAATGAGCTTCGCTTCACACAGCTCTGTGTCAAAGGTAGAGGTGGAGGTATGTGAGTGTGTAAGGAATTGTTGGAGTTAGGAAATGGCAGTCTTCAAAATAAGAACTCATGGTGGACAGTACCTAGGTCTTATTCTTCTGAGTCCTTGGTGCCTTCTGAGCCAGGCACATGTATTCAGGGCATCATATATGGATATACAAGTTGTATACTGCACGAAGATGCTTACTGAGGCCAAGGGGCAACTGAAATCCAGCAACACACTGCTAAAGCCACAGGCATTGACCTGAGGTGTATCTGGCCAGTGAAGGAAGCACTATTTTTTTTTTACACAAAGGACATACAGGATTGCGTCTGCCCAGAGGCTCCCTTTTTTTCTGATAGCACAAAGTTGCCACATTGTCTTCCCAATGTACTGCGGGTGCTTTATGTGGAAAGAGAGCAGAGCAGGGTCAGATATGACTAAGTCACCAGCAAGTGCCTTGGTAGCCTTTGCAGAGGGATGGGGAGGAGAGGTCAGTCTTCCACCCTCCATCACCCCACTGCCCTCATGGGAAACCCAGTCCAGCCTCTGTTCTCCTTTCCAGGTGTTGGAGATATCTTTAAACAAAACATCAACTGTCGAGTCTCATTCATCACTCGGAATCCTAGGAAATGGTAAACAGGAATAAGGAACAGGGAGGTCTCCTTAACTAGGTCTCCTGCAGAGAATGAAGGAAGTAGGGCTGGCCAATCAATCCCCAGGGTCAGATATTTGCCCTCTGAAAGTAGTTCTTATCACCATGGTCAGTTTCAGCCCAAATTACAGCTTCCTCCCACACCCCATACTGCTCAGGACTTTGTCTCTCTTCCTGCCACTCCAGGCTGGAGTCATCCTACAGAACAGATGAGAAGACTATAGTCATTCTCCCCTTGCTCCCTGGTTTGCCTCTGCCCCAAGCTTTGAACCGACAGTTTCTTCTCCTGGGTTTTAAGACACAGGCTCCATTTTCTTTTTTCAGCTCCTGCTCCCAGGAACCGGGACTCCCTGCTTCAGAAGCTCCAGAGTTGGGAGGCTCTGGGATAAAGAAGAGGTTTGGCAAAAAGTGAGTGTTTTCCGGATCTCTGGGGCCAAAGAGACATGAAGAGAAGTCTCAGGGCCTCTGGGTCCTGCCCACACCTCCTTGACTAAAAGGGATCATTCTGAGGCTCATTCCACTTATCCCACTAGATGACTGGGGCTAGAGTGTTAATCTCTATACCCGTTCTTCAGGCAAGGGCCCTGGCTCAGAAGCAACACCAAGATGGTAGTAAGGGGTCACCTGACTCCTGACTCCTTGGGCACAGTGGTGGGCCTGTATAGGGAGCAGGACAGGGGAAGGACAAAAGAAAGAGGAGAAGGAAGAAGAGGTAGAGTTATGGAGAAACAGAAGAGGGGATGGATAGAGCAAGTGAAGATGGAAGTAGAGTTGGGGGAGTGGGAGGCTGCCTTTCTTCCTTTGTCCATCCTGACCCTGGTTCTCATAGGCACTGAGGGAAGGCCAGGGTACTCCTCTCTCACCAGCACCCTGCCTCCCACCGGTACAGGGTGGTGGGGTCCTCTCCCCGGCTGTACACAGAGGCACTACAGGAGAAGATGCCACGAGGCCTCCTGGCCCAGAAGCTGCAGCAGTTCAAGCGCTTTGTGGAGAACTATCGGCGCCATATTGTGTGCATCACAGTTTTCTCAGCCATCTGTGTGGGCCTGTTTGCAGAGCGTGCCTACTGTAAGAGCTTCAGGCTGTGGGCAGTGGGCAGGGAGCAGGCCCTGCCCCTCAGGGAGGAATGGAGAGCCCTCTGGTTGTTCTTCCTGGTCCTCAGTGCCTGGATGGAAGAGGCCAGGTGTTCTGACTTGGGCTCATGACCATGCATCTTGGGCCATGCTGATCTACCCATCTCTGGCCCCAGACTATGCCTTTGCCTCACCACCCACGGACATTGAAGAGACCACCTATGTGGGCATCATCCTGTCACGAGGAACAGCAGCCAGCATCTCCTTCATGTATTCCTACATACTGCTAACTATGTGTCGCAACCTCATCACCTTCCTGAGAGAGACCTTCCTCAATCGATACGTGCCCTTTGATGCTGCTGTGGACTTCCATCGTTGGATTGCCATGGGTGCTGTTATCCTGGCCAGTATGTGGCTCCTGGCCTTCTCCCCTTTGCTTCAGCCCCATAGGTCTAGTTTTGGGGGAAACAGTGAGAAGGCTGGAGCTCTTTATACCTCTCTCTCTCCTCTGGTGCTGTCTCTCCCACTCTGGACTAAAGGTAGAGTCAGCCCTGGCTGGAATCTCTCTCTGATATTGTCTTTTTCAGTTTTGCACAGTGCTGGCCACGCGCTCAATATCTACATCTTCTCAATCAGCCCTCTCAGCCTGATGGCCTGTGTATTCCCCAACGTCTTTGTGAATGATGGGTCAGTTCTGGGGAAGGTGCTCCCTGGGTCTCCTGGGTGGGCTGGAAGGTGTAATAGAAAAGAGATAGCCAAAGATCCTCAGCTTCTCACTGAGTGAAGGTGCAAAGTTATCCCACTGAGGGAAACTGAAAGGTGATTTCCTTGCCTTAAGGAAGCTGACTATGATTGGCTAGGAAAGATGTTTAGAAGATGATTGGGTACTCTTTGTGCATGTACTTGACACACAGCTTGCCATTTCCGCTTACCATCTATTCATTGGGCAAACATTTATGGACCATGTCCTGGGTATCCAGCCAGGTGCCAAAGAGTAGGGATGTTAAGATACATGGAATCATTCTACACATACTTACTGAGAATTTACTGTGTGCCTGGTATAGCTGTAAACCTAGGGATAGAGTGGTGAACAAAACATAAATCTAGGGGCTGGGGTTGTGGCTCAGTGGTTGAGCGCTTGCCTGGCATGTGTGAGGCCCTGGGTTCGATCCTTACCACCACATATAAGTAAAGAAATAAAGTAAAAAATCCACTGGCAACTAACAAAATTTAAAACAAAAACAAAAACATAAATCTCTGTCTTTATGGATACAAAATAATGAACCGAGCACTCAAGGAAACAAGAGTCAACTGCAGTAAGAGAATTTAGGATAACATGGGAGGAAAATTTGCTGAGCGTGCAAAAGGTAGAACTGGGGGAGGCTGGGTGCCATGTTCCTTGGAAGAATCGCTTGAGATATACTAATTGTCATCTAGGTGGAGGCCTAGTAACCTCAGCAGTCAGGGCCAGCAGGAACAGTTAGACTGTGTATGACAGCAGTGGAGCCCCTCCTGCCTCAGTGTATCTCAGAGGCTCAATGTGTCTTTGCCCCACAGGTCTAAGCTTCCTCAGAAGTACTACTGGTGGTTCTTTGAGACAGTTCCAGGTAGGGACTGGGGCTCTATATGGGATCTGGGGATTCTGTCTGAGGGCTTCTACTTTTGCCTCCATTTCCTTATATACACATGGGTCTTTACTGGCCCCTGGTTCATTTTCTAGCCTGCTGCACAAGCCCCGGCTCTAGCCTCTCCAGGCAGGCCATTCTAAGGATGAGAGAGGAAGGAGGGCAGAATGGGGAATATTCTGTGTCTATTTTCAGCCCAGGCTGAGATACTGACTAGTCACTGAACTTGTCTTCTTGTTCTCAGGTATGACAGGGGTCCTCCTGCTCCTGATCCTGGCCATCATGTATGTCTTCGCTTCTCACCACTTCCGCCACCGCAGCTTCCGGGGCTTCTGGCTGACCCACCACCTTTATGTCCTGCTTTATGCCCTGGTGAGGGATTCTCTGGGCAGCAACAGGCATGGAGGAGAGTACTCAGGATGGGAGTGGCAGTAAAGGATGGAGCTGGGAAATTAGATCCAAGATCTCAGACTGAGACCCTGAGATCTGAAACCCAGACTCAAGTATTTGCAGCCCCATCTACCCTGGTGCCTGGGAGGGAAGTAACAGGGCAAGAGGCGGGGTGCAGGGTGGGGACCTGACTAGGCTTGAGGTATACTAACTGGCCCTGTCTGCAGCTCATCATCCATGGCAGCTACGCTCTGATCCAGCTGCCCAGTTTCCACATCTACTTCCTGGTCCCAGCAATTATCTATGGGGGAGACAAGCTGGTGAGCCTGAGCCGGAAGAAGGTGGAGATCAGCGTGGTGAAAGTGGAACTGCTGCCTTCAGGTACCAGCCCGGCTTGACTCCAGCTCCCCAACACAGGAGAAGCACACTAGTCCTTCTGATCCCCATCATCATTTCTGATACCCACTTTGGGATTCCTGAAGCTTTCCTGATAGAAATGCAGCCTCAGAAAGGGCTGTGCTTATCTCCAAAAGAGACTTGCAGACAATGAGAAGTGACTATGGGAAAAGATGCCTGAAAGAGAAGCAGAGGGGTTTAAGAATGAGAATAACCCCCACATGTGTGGCCTGGGTGCAGAAGTACAGGGCAGGGAACCATATGTCCTCTTAGAACAGCACCTTCAGAGACAGCCAAATGGCCCTGATTGCCAGCCTGTTATTGAGGGTCAGGGTTAGCCTAAGTGAGGATTCATATTACCGTGGAGGGTGGTGGATGATGATATTAGGTGTCCCAGGTTGTCTAACCTTCAAGACTCATACTGCAAGAAAATTAATCTCATTTCAATCAAGATTATTTTAGGACCAAGTCTGGAAGTGGTGTAGGTATGCCTTTGATATGCTTCAGTATTTGCTAGCTTCCTTTTTCAATAAAGATTTATCAGACCTGAGACTCAACTGTAGCCAGGCAACAAACAGTACCCAGCTGAGATTTGGTAATAAAACACGTGGCTTTCTACTCAGTACCTTACCTTAGTGATAAAGTTTCTCGTCAAGATAAATTGGATTGAAAAATAAGTCAATTTAAAGAAAAACATTAGATAAATGATACGTAGCAGGCATGCAGACAGGACTCATCACAGTGGTTACCCTCAAATGGAGGAGGTATGATAAACACTGAGATGGTCCCTGGAGAGCCTAAGGTCCCTCCACTCCACCAGCTAGAATTCAGGGCCTGGGCCTTTGCAGGGAGAGGGCGGTGAGAGGAAGAGAGGGGCTGGAACAAGGGAGCAGAGAAGCCCAACTCTTATGTTAACCAGAAAACAGAAAAGGGAATCTTCCTACTCTCAGACACAAGAACCCATTTGCCCAGATCATGTGACCATGTAACACTCCCTGGGCCTAGGAGCATGTAGAGAACAGATACCTGTCAGTCCTCAGGTACTAGGAGCAGGCCTTATCATCTATGCCTTTTCTTGCCCATGACTTCCAGGAGTGACCCATTTGCAGTTTGAGCGGCCCCAGGACTTTGAGTACAAGTCAGGGCAGTGGGTGCGGATTGCTTGCCTGGCTCTGGGGACCAATGAATACCACCCATTCACGCTGACCTCTGCTCCCCATGAGGACACACTCAGCCTGCACATTCGGGCTGTGGGGCCCTGGACTACTCGCCTCAGGGAGATCTACTCACCCCTGACAAGCCAAGGCTGTGCCAGATACCCAAAGGTACCCATCACTGGGAACCCCACTTTGAGGCCTTTGCCATCAGTAGAAGGTCCTTGCCTTCCCTATCCTGAGAATAGGTACTCTAGACACTTGAAGGTTGGGTTGGGAGGGGGCTGGGGTGTCCCAGAAGACACTAGGTGCTCTGTCCCCATCCTTCTTCTGCTTCCTCCACCATCTGTTTCTGGTCTCAGAGCTGGAGAGTGGCTGGGCTCATCTCATCTTCCTCTTCTCTTGACAGCTGTACCTGGATGGACCATTCGGAGAGGGCCACCAGGAGTGGCATAAGTTTGAGGTGTCAGTACTAGTAGGAGGGGGCATTGGGGTCACCCCCTTTGCCTCCATCCTCAAAGACCTGATCTTTAAATCAGCCTTGGGCAACCAAATGCTCTGTAAAAAGGTGAGCGTCCCTCTCCCATTCTTCAAATGGGGAACAGTCATCCTGATTGTGTTCCAGAGTCTCAGCAGAAGAGCATGAGGGAAAGGCCCTGGCTTTTAGGTGCAAGTCTAAAAGCGTTCATACCCAATTTTCCAGCTGCTAACTGAGGGAAGGTAGGGGGATAGCCAGAAGGATCTGTCCCCAGCAGATCCTCAGAAGCCTGGCTGGGATCAGAGCTTTCTTGTATGTGGGCAGTCTGAGGCTTCCCAGCCTCTCAGGTGAAGGTCCCAGGGATGCAGGGAGCCTGAGCTGAGCTGGTCCTGAGCTCCAGCTTGTGCCCCCAGATCTACTTCATCTGGGTGACACGGACCCAGCGGCAGTTCGAGTGGCTGGCTGACATCATCAGGGAGGTAGAGGAGAATGACTGCCAGGACCTGGTGTCTGTGCACATCTACATCACCCAGCTGGCTGAGAAGTTTGACCTCAGGACCACCATGTTGGTAAGGTCAGGGCCAGCCAGGCAGGCCAGGTGAGCCACCATTTGGGCTAAGAGTTGACCCTGGTGTGCCTGGCTGTGACCTTCCTCCATCCCTCCCTCCTCAGTACATCTGTGAGCGACACTTCCAGAAAGTGCTGAATCGGAGTCTGTTCACGGGCCTGCGCTCTGTCACCCACTTTGGCCGCCCCCCCTTTGAGCCCTTCTTCAACTCCCTGCAAGAGGTCCACCCACAGGTTGGTCTGACCCCTCCTTCTCTGGGACTCTGGTCGTCTTGGCCCTGAAGCATCCTGCAGCTCTATCCTGAATAGAGAATTCCACTGGACCCCAGGATGGGGTAAAGTGTTAGAGGAGGACTTCCCCCACAGCTCAAGCCTCCTCCTCAGGGCCTGGGGTAGAACTCAGGTCATTCTGGCTAAGCTGGAGAAGTTTCTTCCTCAAAGAGTGAGCATCACAAGGCTCCAGGTCTCTCCTTCTCTTTCTAATTGCCTAACAGGTGCACAAGATTGGGGTGTTTAGCTGTGGCCCTCCTGGCATGACCAAGAATGTAGAGAAGGCCTGTCAGCTGGTCAACAGGCAGGACCGAGCCCACTTCATGCACCACTATGAGAACTTCTAAGCCCACCTCCCTGGTTCCTGCTTCCAGTATCCTGCTCTCCCTCTCTAGACCTCAGTTCCCCAACCCTGCTGGCAACTTCTCTCACAGAATCCACTCCAGGCCTTACCCAGAGAGCTAGAAGAACCCACCCCTCAATGCCCCATCTGTCCTCTGTTCTGAGAAGTTAGAGAAGCCTCCCACCCACACCTCCAGCTCAAGCCATGGCAGCATGTGAAAGCAAAGTTGGAAGGGGACAGCCTCTGCTTGTGACAACTATGGAGGTGAAAAGATACAAAATCATTTACCTCTGATAGATCCCATTTCTCTATTGCTTTGGTATTTTCTTGGCCAAACCATTTTGAGGGAAGAGAAGGTGGGTGTACCTCTGAGTGAGAATTTTCCCAGAGCTCAACTCAGAAGCTGTGATGCTTGAGAGCCTGAACAGCCCGACTGCCTCAGCTCAGCATAGGCCTTTCCCCTCCAGCTCCAAAGTGCAACCCCTCCCCGACGTTTCTCACTCCTAGAGGGTCAGGAGCCTTTAGAACACCAGGGAACAAAGATGCCTCATCAGCCCTGATGTTTGCAATGTCAGTGATGCTGGTTGCCCTAACCCCTTGGCAGGCCCCTTTGAGCTATGGGAGTGATTCCTGAGCTCTGGGACCAAGGGAGTCTAGCCTCTCTGCCACATATCTAAGACTTTCTATCATTTCCCAATTCCAGAAGAGTTAGGTGACCAGATAACTCTAATTATAATGTGATTTCTGTCACTTTGTTTGGGTCATGCTGAATGTACTCTTTTAAGACTGTTCTCTTTCATTCACCACGATGCCTTTGTGATTCATTCATGCTGCTGTATCAGTAGTTTGATCCTTTTTATTGCTGGGTAGTATTCCATTAGAGAGATGTACCACAGTTTGTTTATCCATTCTTCTGATGATAAACCCTGAATTGTTTCTGTATTTGGGTGATGATAAATAAAGCTGCTATGAATCTTCTTATACTTATCTTTTGGTGAAAATGATGCACTCATTTCTCTTGGGATATATCTAGGAGTGGAATTGGTGAGTCATGGAGTTCTCTAGACAGTATTATTTGTAATCAGGCCATCTCCACAAACCTATCAGGTTCTTCTCCTCATTGAATTTATTCAGAGGCCAGATGTCTCTGGTTCCTATCCCTCTATATTAAAAGTATCTCTCTGACAAAGCTGAATAAACAACAGATCATGACCCAAGAGACCTAGGATTTTAGCGCCAATTTTATCTGTAAATGTTTCAGAGGGAAAAATCCCTTAATTTCCCTTTTTCTTCATTTATTCAAATGTCTGGAAGGGTATTGGGGAGTCAGATAGCAATAGTCCCAAACAATTATATTGATGAGAAAAAGTGTAGGAATATATTAATTACAACGTATGATGATTACTAGTCCATCCATTTATGAACAGCATCATGCCTCCCAGCCTCCAGCCTTCCTGCCCCTCACCAAGTATACACCAGTAACTTTATTCCCAGATCTTACCTATCAGTGTCCTCCCATGCCTTTCTAAAAACTGTTCAAAATATTTATCTGTCCCATCCTAATTCACTTGTCCTTACCAGACTGGAGAATGGTGCTAACATGGCTGTCATGTTAACATAATCCATAATCTATAACACTCTGTCCTCAGTTCTGTTCTCCCTTCCATGTTAGGGGAAGTGATCACTGATGAATGAATCTCTAGTCAACTTTTGCCCTGACTCTAGGCAATGTCAAGTGCATATCTAGCTGGACAGAGGGACATGCCACCATGATCTTGAATAGCCTCCGGTAGCACTTAGACTGCCTGACTTCAGTCCTGGCTCCATTCCCAGCCAGGCTTTAGATATTAGCCCAAAGTGTCTATTCACAACCTGGATGTACTATATAACACCATGCTGATTCCCAGAGAGCCACCAAATGAGCAGGATTAAAGTTAAGGCCTTAAAGAGATGATAGAAGTCTTTTCAGTCTGTCTGTTTGCCAGAATCCTAAACAGGTCCCATCCTTTCTGGAGCCTGAGACAGATTCTCCTTGGTCAGTCAGGAAGGCCCAGGATCAGGTAACGATCAGGCAATTCACACTTGGGTTGAGAAAACAAAGTTATTAACTGTGTAAACATGTGGGGAGAAGAAGTTATACTCTGGAAAATATGTAAACAAGGTGGTCTGAAAAAATGTCCAGAAAGCTAGGCACAGTGGCTCATGCCTGTAGTCCCAGCAGCTCAGGAGGCTGAGGCAGGAGGATTGAAAGTTCAAAGCCAGCATCAGAAATTTAGCAAGGCCCTAAGCAACTCAGTGAGACCCTGTCTCTAAACAAAAAGAGGGCTGGAGATGTGGCTCAGTGGTTAAGTGCCCTTGAGTTCAATCCCCTGTCCCTCCGCCCCCAAAAAAATGTCCAAAGAAAGAAGCTATGGAGAGGATGACTCACAGAACATATTATAGTAATAGTGTAAAAGGAAGCAAACATTCTCTACAGAGGTTGGTCTCAGGCCCTGGGATAAAGCCCGACTCAACCCTGCCTCATAGGGATAGGGATGAGAATGAGATGGAGAAGAAACAGCACAACGATAGGACTGGGAATGGAGAAGATGAGGATGAGGATTAGGATAAGTGGATGGCAAGGCTTTAGGGCCAGGTAGGAAAGGAGAGTGTGAGGACCCACTGGGCTCTGTGGAGAGAAATGGAGGCCCCAACACTGTCTCTTTTTCCAACTTTACAGCCCAAACTTGTGCCCCAACCATAGAGGAGAAAGTTGACAAGACATGGCATCCTTCCTACTTAACTTGCTAAGAACTTTGAGTAAGAGGAGCCAATCCACCAGAGTATTTAAGAGCAAGGGCTCTTGAATCAAATCAGGTTTGAGTCCAGGACAGATGACCTTGAGCAAACAAAGGAAACTTGGTGCCTCTATAAAATGGGAATAACCTGAGTATCTGATTCATAGGATTTGGAAAGATCCAATGAAATAATTCAACTCAATTCAACAGGCCCAGCTTCTATGAAACTTAAATATATATTTTTTTAATTTTTGAATTTGTTCTAATTAGTTAAATATGACAGTAGGATGAATTTTGACACATTGTACACAAATGGAGCACAACTTCTCATTCCTCTGGCTGTCCATGATGCAGTCACACCAGTAGTATAATCATACATGTATATAGGGTATTAATGTCTGTCTCATTCCACTGTCCTTCCCATTCCCACAGCCCCAACCCTACCCTCACTCCCCTCTGTTCAATCCAAAATTCCTTTATTCTTCCATGCCCCCTCACCCCCTTATGGATCAGCATCCACTTATCAGAGAAAACATTCAGCCTTTAGTTTTTTGGGACTGGCTTATTTCACTTAGCATGATATTCTCTAGTTCCTTCCTATGGAACTTAAATGTTAATGGAAGCAAACAGACAATAAACAAGTTAGGAGGAGAAGATCCCCAATTCTAAGTACTTTGAAAATAATCTAAAGATAGTGAGTGACTAAAGGTGGATTTTTTATTTTCTAATTGAACCCAGGGCCTCATACATACTAGGCAAGTGCTCTACTGAGCCACATCCCCAACCCAAGGGATACTCTTAAGATAAAATTATTAAGAGAAGACCCCTAAGAAGATGACAATCAGATCATAGCAATCTATGTACACAGAGCTTGCTGTGCACCCAGTCTCTTATAAGTGCTTGGAATGTATTAGCTTACTTAGTCCTTAGGACAAACTATGAAGTAGTTACTATCATTATTACCATTTTTCAGTTAAGAAAATCAAAGCACAAGAAAGTTTAAACAGTTTGCTCAAAGTTACCCATGTGAGAGGACAGATTTGAATCTGCAAAGCTTACCCAAAGACCATGCCCCTTAGCTACCACTTTATCCTGTCTCTCAAAAGCAGGTTGTGAGTGTTCAGGCAAAGATAATGTATGGGCAGTCCTTAACTGTATCTGGAATATTGTCATTAGTATTTTACTATGAGTAAGAGAAGTTGAGGTTCTGAAGGCAGAACTCCGTATTCTAGGAGTCTGGAAGTGTTGAGTGATGTTAAGATAATTGATCCTAGACTAGGCCTATTCCCCTTTCTGACCAGGTCCCTACTTACTCCCTCTGTGTCCCACCAGGGTCTGTCTCTATGGAGGGGGAGGAAGAGGCCTGCTCTACCCCGCAGAGACAGCACCCCCCACACCCATCATCTGAAAGTCATTCATTGCCGCCTAGCTTGGCCTGGTCTAGAATGGAAGGTGGCAGGGAGAGCAGTCTGCTGTGACCAGCACAGCCAAACCAGCAGATTCTAGTGAGAGACTATGGGAAATTAAAAAAATAAAGACTCACATAAGCAGATTTTTAAGATAACAGCTGGGATTCGGTAGAGCGCTGCTCTCTAATGGATAAGGCAGGTCTAAAGAATTATGCCAGCAGTATTTATTTATATTTGTTTCATTAATCAGATTAAAGACTATGCAAGCATTATTCTTTGTATTCACGAAAGTTACAGAGTTAGCAATATTATGCAGTTTACTCCTCAGTTACATTCTATAGTTGCAATGTGCAATGTTAGGAGCTTTGTGTAGCTCTCAAGAAAGTCCATTGTTTGAAGTTACTCTTATGTGGGCAGTTTCAGGAGCAGCAGAGCTGGTGAAACATTGTGGTTGTCTAGCAAAAGAGTTTCTTTATTCCCAGGAGCTGTGTGCCTGAGTTCAAGGTCAAGGCTGATAAGACTTCTAGCACAGAGCTTCCACATGAAGGGCATTACTGTAGCAGCTAGACATCCTGCACCTTTGCACAGAAACTTTTCAAGGCATCAAGCATGCCACAGCCATGAAGTTATCAGAGACCCCAGTCTCAGACACTGCTCTCCCATTCTCTGCCACCGCTCTCCACACCAGTCTGCTTCCCAGCCTAGTTCTCAGGAAGCTGCAAAGGGCCTGGGAATCTCTCCAGTTGATCTCCGAGGAAGGCTCATTCTTAGACAGTGACCTCATGTACTTTAACATGAAGTTTCCCCCTTCTCTGCAA